CTTTTTCCCAGCTGAAAAACAAGAGATCCCAAAATATTTCATTTTGCACCTGATGCAGTCCCATGGCTACGTACGGCATGCACAGCCCTGATTTCCCCAACCTCCCCCCGCCCCAAATATACTGTCAAAGTCTCTTGGAAAGGTCACAGCCCCTAACAATTGGCTAGTCCACTTGCCCCTGAACGCAGGCTTCCTTCCTAGGCCCGAGGAAATGCCTGCTTCCCCATGCCTGGTGCTCCAGCAATGCCACATCCTCTCTCCCCCCCCCTCCGTTCCCGCCCGCATCCAACAGGAGAGCGGAGCGGAATGCGGCCGGTTTCCACCAGGAGGACTCCAATCCAGGCGGGTGATAAATGCACTCCAGCGCCAATTAGGAAGATATATAGCATCACAACGCGAAGGTCTGGGCAGCCTGGTGAGGCGCGGAGGGCTCTCCAGAGTCCCAGCTATGTTTCCCATTATGTAACCCTGGTCATGGGCAGGCCGCCAGACTCCAAATGAAAAAGAGACTCTGGCTTGGCACGGCTTCTATTTTCCTATCCTCATTCAGGGTCAGCGGAGTGTCATACAGCTGCAGAGAAAGCTCTGGGGATTAAACCTGGGAATGGCTCCAAAGACTGAGACCCGGGTTCAAGTACCAGCTGAAAGCAATAAGCCAACTGCCAGAGCTGTGCTGAGCTGAGCCTGAATCCGGTCTCAGCACCAAGGGCTCCTGGGAAACGACCGCCAGGGACAGAGAAAACAAGGCGCGCCACAGCCGGCAGGCCACTGCAGTGGCTTGGGGTAAAGGGGTGGGGTGGGGGGGAGAAGGCTTCCGATCCCCCCGCACTGCTTGAGGCACCTCCGCAAGAAGAATACGGCACCCCCTCACTCCCCGCTTCCACCCACCCCCCCACTCCCTCAGCAGAGAGAGAAGGTGCTTGAACCTGGAATGGTCAAGGAAGGGGAAGATGCCTCAAAAGCACACAGGGGTTAATTCCTGAAGCAAGGGGTGCCAGAAGTCGCGCCCTGGCAGTTCAGCCAGCGAATATCGGGGGGGGGGGGGGAAGACCCTCAGCG